GAAAATCAGATACTTGGAATACACAATAAGTATGTTCTATAATATTATGAAATATAATTCATCTACGTGTAATCCGTTTATTTCGAAGAATACATTTCATTTTTCAATATCTCAACACTTTGAAAGTATGTTTATGGCATTAAACGCAACTAAAATATAAAATACAGTATGTCCATGCTAAGAGGTACTACTAAATATTTCATTTCGATGACCTTGTATTGAAATAGGGTTTTCGCTGAATGAAAGATAGTACTTAAATACACATTTTTAGATAAATTTCAAATTTTCAACTTACTTATTCGGATAGAGTATTTTTTTCTAAAACAATTTATGCATAAAAAGTTTTTTCTAATTACATAATTGGCATATGAAATTTAATATTTACGAGTAATTTTTTTGACAAAATCTAAACTATAATTTCAACTTATTGTTACTTTTTGATATCCAATATTGTTAAATACCTATTTGCAACATAGATAAAATAGTAAAAACAACTTTGAAAACATTTGCCAGTAATTAAGATACTATAATTCGTGTTCGTTATACATTTATTCCTCGTAAATAGTAAATTTCATCTTTAAATTTCATATGCCAATTTTATAATTAGAAAAACACTTTTTATACAAAAATTGTTTAGAAAAAAATACTCTATCCGAATATGTAAAAAAAAGTTGATGTTACCATTTACAAAAAAAAAAGTAAGTTGTATCGCGCATTCGCGTATCAAAAGAGTTTAAAATTTGAAATTTATCTGAAATTTCAAATTTCAATACAAGGTCATCGAACTTAAATATTTAGTGATACCTCTTAGCGTGAACACACTGTATAACTATGTTTTAAAAATAATACTAAAACGCGATACTGTTATAATGTCACACGATGAAAAATGTATTTCAACAACGTATTGACACGACACGTTGAGGCGTAATGGTAGTTGTTGTAACTTACACGTACCACACGATTCTACAGGACCTATCACTTTATTGTTTTATTGTGTACTATAATATTAAAAAGTGAAATATGAACGGTCTACGAATGCGCTTGGTCGAACAGGATTCACTTATGTAGGAAAACGACAGTATACCCACACAACATACAAATATTTATTTTGTGTACAATAAATATTTGATAAAAAATCTTGATGAATAATAAATATTTAATTTTTATTGATTTAAAATTTTTAAATATTTTATCAATATTTAATAAACTACGTTTGAACCATTTGGAGTTTTGCGATCAATATTTCTAAATAAATATTTAATTGTTATTATCGACTAATGTTCATTAAAAATAAAAAATTATACAATTAAAAAAGGTTTATTTATAATCAACATTAACTATATTAAAATAAATGAATTAAAATAATAAAATAAATTTCTTGAAGCTGGGATAGATTATATAATATATAATTTTAGATTATAGTATATTATAATATACTTTTCTTATTAAAATATAAAATTTTAACTATGAATATGATTGATATCATATATTTTATATATATTATACTATACATATTATGATCAAATATAATAATATAATAATAGGCAAAATACTAGGTAAAATAAAATGAAGGCAAACACATAATGTTTTAGATGTGTGAAACTATTTATTTTCATAAAAATATTTGTATATATCTATAAGTATTACTGTATTACTATTATATATATTAGTACATAATTATATGAATAGGTAAAAAAAAAAAGTAAATATTATGTCATATGAATTTAAATTATATAAAACAAAATATTTTGAAATTTAATCAAAGCAAGAAAAATTTATTTAGTGAGAATTGTATTATAATATTATACATTATCAAAACAAAAAAATTAAAATATTAAAAAAAGCAATTTAAGCAGAGAAATTCTTATCAGAAATTCGTTTTAAATTAAATGGGGCTTGAGCAAGTACATATTTGATGATATCCTCCATTTCATTTTGAGATGAATTTTTAAATTTATTTTGCTTCTTGACAGCATCTAAAAAATATTTACAATAAATAATTATGGGTAGCAAAAATATTTAGGATGTTTGTGTATTTTAGCCCTATAATGCTGCAAAATTATAGTCTTAAGTAGGTAAGACATTACAGCCATAAAAGTTAAGCATTATTTAAAAAGGTATAGAAGATAATACAATATTAATGTATAATGTGTATATATAATATATAATGCGATATATTATATGTATTATGTATATTATTATATAAATAAGAAGAATATTTTATCAAGTGTTAATTGAATAATCATTTCATTATTTCTGATTATAATAATATTAATATATTACTATATATGTATAGGTATATATATATAATAGTAAAAATGATATCTTACCAAAAATCACAGAAGTACAACCCAGGCTGCAAAATTTTTTTTTGCCTTTTTTCCCGGTGTATGAGAAATCTTTTAATAGTTCATCTTTGAACAATTTTCCCATCACCCGTTTGACCATTGCTTTGACATGTTTACCGCCGATGTATGAAAGTTCATTTACCTAAAAAGTTAGTACACATACAAATAATAGAAACATTTTCATAATATACCAGATACCTAGCAGCATATTATATGATTTCTTACCAACTGAGTACGGAATTCTTTACTGCCAGAAATTTTTTCTTCAAAGATTTCAAGATCAATTAAATTGTCAAGTGGTATATTGAAATCTTTATCAATTAAAGACGAGTCATTGTTGTTAAAATTGGAGTTGTCATATGATGGAATATTTTCAAGTCTACTTTCTATTATCTCCAGTCTTTGGGCCATATCTCTTTGATTATTTACTGCTCGCTTTAATTCAAATTTTAAAAATGATAGCCTATGAAGAACTTCTTTTTCAAATTCTGTAGTTCCTGAACAAAATAAAATAAAATATTATCGATTTACATATTTTTAAACTGTTAGGTATCATATTGCATATACAAATATATTTATTATTAGTGATAAAAAATGAATTAATACTGAAAAATACTAGAATGTTGTAGGCATATATATATTATATAGCAGGTTATATGTATAATTAAATTTGTTATAGTATCTCATAAATATTAATTAATTTAATAATTATAGTAATTAACATATTGCATAAAATATATAAGATTACCATAACTTTAATCGTACACGATAATATTAATTAAAATCAAGTAAAGAACTTTGGCGATTGTAAGAAATACAACTATAGTTATATGAAGGTTTCATTTCAATATAACTATATATAATATCTTATAAGTACTTGACACAATATGCATTAACTAGAATAAATGGTTAACTATATTATTTATTACTATGGGTTAAGTAATAATGAAATGGATGTTTTACAATTGATATTATTTTATTTATTACACTAACCCTTTGAAACTGATACAGAATTACAAATTTCTGGGGTTCTGGTTGATTGTAATTGATTTATTGCATATTGGGGTGTTTCTGCTAGGTGTCTCGGCATAACTTCTGAGCTTCCATTACCTATTATCATATTACAAATATTAACTTTTTTGATTGTTTATATATATAGTTAAAATAAAATTGCATGAAATATATAATTACCAATTTCAAGATCAGTTGATTTTATCTCATTACTGGTAGTTTCAATAACTTTATTATTTGAGTTTTTATCAAGATAATCTGCAGGTTCAAGATTTGTCTGATCAACTATATCAAAAATAAATATATAAAATGAGATATTTTTGCTATACGTCCATGCTAGAATTCTTACACAAGAAAAATTATAGAATAGCCACAGCCACTTAATTAAAAAAAAAAAAAAACACTTACAATATATAATATATTACCAATAAATGAAACAATATTTAATTTGCCTGCCCGTCATACTTAAACCACTCATATTAATAAATTATACATCAATTTTATTTTAAAATATTTACCCATATGTTTGTTCTTGGAGGTATCATGAAAAGATGTATCACTAAAAGATAATTTTTTCACAATTGATGACTTTGAAGCATAATGACCATCTGCAGATTTTTTAAGAGTACTATTAGCTTGTAGACTTTTCAGCACTTCATAAATTAAATATAAATAAACCAATAATATTAGTAAATAGTAATTATAAACATAATATTAACTGTTATTAGATAGTTTTACTGTAACATACATTTCACTTTTTTTGGAGATGGTGACCATCCATTTAGTAATGTCCTTATTGTACCTTTTTTGCCACATTTGATGTTCTCATCACTACAGTCATCATCATCAGACTCTAAGTTAAAAAATAATAGTTTAAGTATACAGATTTGATCATATAACATATGTTTATATTTTTATGATATACAGGTACCTGAAAATATAGGACATGAGGGTGAAACAACATTTGATACTGCTTTTTTATCAGTTCTTCGTTTGGATTTTAATAAAACATCATCATCGGTAGATGATATGTACATGTTAGTTAATCCTTTTTTTACCATTTTCCTAGCTTTATATAATGAATCTGAAATATTATGATATGTATACATGTAATAATGCATGTAGTGCATACTAACAATAATCAGCTACAATATATATAACTTAAAAAGGACTTATATACAACACAACATAATGTAGTATATATAAATCTATATTAACTAAATTATAATATGTTACACAAATAAACTATTTTACCAGATATTTTCAATACTTTGGCCGCATGATAACTGTATTCAACATCATTAGGAATGCTTTTTAGTTCAACAAATTTTTTTAATGCATTGGGATTTTTAGTATTCGGCCATGCGCACGTGCCTTCTTTTTTTTTAAACCAGCAAGCTGGAACTGCTTCTATTGAATTATCTTCATGAAATTCAACAACCAAATACTGGGACATCTTTATTTTACACTATACCAAAAACACAAACTATTAAATACAATTACAATAAATGATTAACATAAATTAATATAAGTAAGTATAATAAAAAAACATATTCATGACATTTTAGATAAAAAAAAAAAAACAGGTACATAAAAATGTATTAACATTTAACATATATATATCAATAAACTGTCAGTAATTCAAAAATTAAATAAATGTAAAATAGGATATGCAACATTTAAATTACTATTACTAGACAATATCATATATTTTACAAATTCAGTATTCTCAATGTCTATGGTGGAATAAAATTCTGATAAATTTTTTACCACAGCAATACCTAATTTAAGACTACTGATGGGTTTATCAAAAAAAATGCCAATAGTTTCAAAATGCTTAACTACAAAAACATATTTTTCTGTCATAGAATCACGACATATATTAAAAACCTTAACAATTTTAAGACCTGTTTCATCTGTGAACCCAATATAGCTGTCGGATGAAGACTTAATATTTATTTTAATATTATTTTTAAAAACTATCTGGAAATGTGGAACGGTTAAGTGCTCAAATACTGAAGGTCCATAACTGTAAGGTTTTTTATAAATAATTTTTTTTTGAGATTTCAAAACAATTGGTTGGTTAAATAATAAAGATTCATGATAGCGGTTAATAACTTGTTCAAGTGGTTTTTCGTGCTTCCGGACCATTTTTTTTAAAACTTTCATGTAATTCTCGAAAGGAAAACATGAACACTCTTCAAGCGATTTAAATTTTCTATAATCATCAACTATGTGCAATAATCCATGCACATTATGAGAAATAAACTGAGGACCATATATTTCACTAAAATTTTCAACAAAATATTTAATTAGTTTTTCACTGAAATTCACTAACTTTTCAGAACTACCAGGACATAAGAGAACTCTAAAACTGATGTGTAAACACAAAAAATGAAAATAACATTCATTATTTAAAATATCTTTTAAGACCACAGGTCCTGTATATAATAAAAATAATCTAAACTCAGTTGCTTTAAACCGGCAAATTTCATTTAACCCTCTACATTTTCTTGAAAAATCACTAGGTACAAACGTATTTAATAACAATAAATGATTTGAAATACTGTTTACACTTCGACTTGGAATACGGACATTGACAGGAGCATTTTTTGATACACCTAACCAGAGTAATAGCATTTTTTTCATAACCCCTAAACATACCAAATGCATATAGTCAAGACTAAAATCTTCAACTATATTTATACCTGGTATTTCTGTAAGTATAGAAACAGTAGAAGTGATATGGTGATCATCATCCACACGATTTAAGAAATCTGAATGAGTTCTTTTAGAAAAGTTGGTTCCCAAAAAACATGTTGTATTGTTTATACGTTCTCCTTCTATTCTACATCTTATACAGGATGAATATCCAGCGTGACCTTTTACAGATAAAATGAAACTCTTAGCAGGGCAGTCACAACAAAAAGTATCAACTATCACAATTTTTTTACCAAACTTTGTTTGCATGCCATTTGTATACAAATCTTTAAGTTCAGACACCAAATATTTTAAATAATCATTACAAGATTGAGGTTTTTCTCTTCCCCAGTACAACCCTATTATAAATATTATATTATGTTGACTATAAGAATTAATAGCTGGGTATCGAGCATATCCTAAAATTGGCCAAAATGTGCTTGAGGAACTTTTTGTAAGGGGTAATCCGTCAATTCCTATTACAATTTTAATAACATCATCAAAATTCATTAGCATATCACCAAGACAATTTAAGCCATTAGCAACCCCAAAATGATAATATAAGCCAGGTGACACAATTTGAATATCATTACATTGATTAGGTTTATTTGTTTTTAACACAGTTCTAGCATCAAGTGGGATATCTTTAAAACATTTATGACCTTTTAATACTTTTAGTAATGAAGACAAAGAAATAAGAGTGATATTATAAGTCACTGCCCATTTCGCTAATGGTTTTAAAATACAATCTTTGTCCTCAAACATATCAAACGAACCACTAATTTTAAGTTGATCATTGGTATCAAAATCCTCGTCAAAATCAGAATCTGAAGAAAATAAATTATTTTCAAATTCATTATCTGCTTCATTTAAAGAATTAATTGAAAACCCATCACATGAGATTGGACTACCAGGTAATTTTATGTCAGAAAATGGATTATTGGCATTTGATGCTGAGAAATTTGTATTTTCATTGGCTAAATTATAATCTACTTCATATGATGTACTTGGTTGTAATTCACATTCTACATTTTTATCATTGTCATACAAATAATCAACCATTTCCAGATCCTCCAAAAATCGTCTACGTTTAGTAGACCTACTTATATTTTTATTGACTGACATACTTAAATTACTGACTGACAAAGACAATAATAATACAGTTAATAATACGTACAGTCGACCGTCGTAGCAGTATCAGCAGCAAAATTGGCAATTCCTCGTCAAGCCTAAAAAGAAAAGAAAAAGAAGATTCATAAAATTGTTTAGGGTTAGTGCCTATTATTCGGCTATATTCGCATACATGTTATGTATATTTTTTTTTGTTTCACTTACCACAATATTTGAAGATTAATAATATACTGATTGTTAACTCAATGAACAAAAAAATGCTTTAAATCTGAACTGAAGAGGCCGTGTGAACCCAGTTCATGTACCAATGCGTACAGTTGACAGTCGTAGCAGTATCAGCATTCAGCAGCAAAATTGGCAATTCCCCGTCAAGCTTAAAAAGAAAAGAAAATTCATAAAATTGTTTAGTGTTAGTGCATATACCGGCTACATATTCATATAATATAATAATATATTGTTTCACTTACCTACAGTACCACAATATTTGAAGATTAACAATTTACTGTATTAGATTGAAACTATGGTTGAACTATATCTGGCTTTTTTATCCGGAAAACTTAAAAACATGCCACATTGGACCTCGTTAACTCAATAATGGACAAAAAAATGCTTTAAATCTGAACTGAAGAGGCCCGTGTGAACCCAGTTCATGTACCAACGCGTTCAGTTGACAGTCGTAGCAGTATCAGCATTCAGCAGCAAAATTGGCAATTACACGTCAAGCTTAAAAAAAAAAAAGAAGAAGATTCATAAAATTGTTTAGTGTTAGTGCCTGTACCGGCTACATATTCTTATATAATAATTTATTGTTTCACTTACCTACAGTACCACAATATTTGAAGATTAACAATTTACTGTATTAGATTGAAACTATGGTTGAACTATATCTGGCTTTTTTATCCGGAAAACTTAAAAACATGCCACATTGGACCTCGTTAACTCAATAATGGACAAAAAAATGCTTTAAATCTGAACTGAAGAGGCCCGTGTGAACCCAGTTCATGTACCAACGCGTTCAGTTGACAGTCGTAGCAGTATCAGCATTCAGCAGCAAAATTGGCAATTACACGTCAAGCTTAAAAAAAAAAAAGAAGAAGATTCATAAAATTGTTTAGTGTTAGTGCCTGTACCGGCTACATATTCTTATATAATAATTTATTGTTTCACTTACCTACAGTACCACAATATTTGAAGATTAACAATTTACTGTATTAGATTGAAACTATGGTTGAACTATATCTGGCTTTTTTATCCGGAAAACTTAAAAACATGCCACATTGGACCTCGTTAACTCAATAATGGACAAAAAAATGCTTTAAATCTGAACTGAAGAGGCCCGTGTGAACCCAGTTCATGTACCAACGCGTTCAGTTGACAGTCGTAGCAGTATCAGCATTCAGCAGCAAAATTGGCAATTACACGTCAAGCTTAAAAAAAAAAAAGAAGAAGATTCATAAAATTGTTTAGTGTTAGTGCCTGTACCGGCTACATATTCTTATATAATAATTTATTGTTTCACTTACCTACAGTACCACAATATTTGAAGATTAACAATTTACTGTATTAGATTGAAACTATGGTTGAACTATATCTGGCTTTTTTATCCGGAAAACTTAAAAACATGCCACATTGGACCTCGTTAACTCAATAATAGACAAAAAAATGCTTTAAATCTGAACTGAAGAGGCCGTGTGAACCCAGTTCATGTACCAACGCGTTCAGTTGACAGTCGTAGCAGTATCAGCATTCAGCAGCAAAATTGGCAATTACACGTCAAGCTTAAAAAAAAAAAAGAAGAAGATTCATAAAATTGTTTAGTGTTAGTGCCTGTACCGGCTACATATTCTTATATAATAATTTATTGTTTCACTTACCTACAGTACCACAATATTTGAAGATTAACAATTTACTGTATTAGATTGAAACTATGGTTGAACTATATCTGGCTTTTTTATCCGGAAAACTTAAAAACATGCCACATTGGACCTCGTTAACTCAATAATGGACAAAAAAATGCTTTAAATCTGAACTGAAGAGGCCGTGTGAACCCAGTTCATGTACCAACGCGTACAGTTGACAGTCGTAGCAGTATTAGCAGCAAAATTGGCAATTCCACGTCAAGCTTAAAAAAAAAAAAAAGAAGAATAAGATTCATAAAATTGTTTAGTGTTAGTTCCTATACCGGCTATATTCATATATAATATTACGTATAATTTATATTGTTTCACTTACCAAAATATTTGAAGATTAATAACTATTAGGCCTTTTGATACGGAAAACTTAAAAGCATGCCAAGTGAACTTCGTTAACTATCAATCCCAATGGACAAAAAAGCACGACAAAATAAATAAATGAGAAAAACTGAACCGTAATGGCGGCGTAACCGTTCTCGTCGTAGGTATAATACAATAATACGGACAGACGACAGCGGACAGTTTAACAGTTATGGCAAAGTTGAAAATAGTGCAAGACATGGAATAATAATAGTAATAACTAAAAAGAAAATACGCAACTATGCATTAATACGCGCACCCCCCACATCACTTTGTAACAACGACTTTCATGTTTAGACATAATATAGAATAACATTGGTTTTACCATGTTTTACACACAGATAACGGTTATAATAATATTAATTTTATCAGCGATTTTACTCGGTAATAATAATAATATAATAATAAGAAATTAATAACATAATAAATAAGCACTGGGTATTTAGCTATTATTATACGAAATGACAGTTTTAATTGATAACGAATTTCAATTCCGTTGGGCGTAACAATTTTGTAAATTATTGTAGTGAGTAGAGACAGACTACAGACCACTACGTTCTTGAGCCACATTAAGGATATTTTTCGAAATAATAGTTATTAGTATTATTGAGTCGTATCAGTAGATTACAAAGTATTATCATAGACAAACAACTATAACGGACAGTGCTTCCCGCAACGCCATGCCACGGTAAATCCAGACAACATAACAGAGAGGGAAGACATAACATAATATTATGAGCATTGGACGCATAAGAGAGAAAAGCATGTTTTGGGTTATATAAATAATGTTTCGGGACACAGTAACGACCAAAACCTCTCTTTTCTCTCTCAACAATCCCGTCTGGTGATTTCTCCCGTCTATGCGATGCCATTATAATAGGTCTATCGTGTATGCAGTGCATTATGACTTCTTGAATAAGTTAATTGAAATAACTTATTAGGTACCATTAGTTTTAGGTGAATTATATTAATACTGATGGATGAATAATTCTATATTTGCTATACATTCGCCACGTCTTCACATTCTATGGACTTTGAGGCGGACGTACCTATATATTTCAATATTTTTTAACATAAACATAAATAATATATTATAATGATAATATATACATATTAATGATGGTCGGGTAAAAGGGTATAAGTCAATTTTAATAGTACCTATTAATTATAACGTGTATATATATTATATTTAAGTTCAAAATATATATCCACCAAACTATTACAGCAACTTTATGCTTTTCAATTGCAATTTATATAATTTGTGTCAATATAAAATTATAAACAAAATTACAAATATAAAATATCATGTTCGATCGGTTCTATATAGTTTCAAGTTTGTAATTTAATTTCAATTGTTCATATAATATACCTATATAACTATAACATATTATATATTATATGTTTTAAACTGTGATGGAAATATTATGCTTCTTTTAAACTATTGTGTTATTATATTGTTATAATGTTATATATAATATATATATAATAATTAGTGGATCTATTTAATATATATATAGGTATTATAAACAGTGATATATTTTTTCATAGTTTTACTGATAATTTTTAAGATCTGTTATTACTGCAGTTTCATATGTTTTAAGTTTTTCATTATAACATATGAGAACTATTCATTTTTATGAACAGTGATTTAGTAAAAAATATATCAAAGCCGCGCGCGGTCTTCCATTATAATATTATTATAACCATAATATATCATGATCTGATTTAATACATTTCTTAGATTAATGCCCGTGTACCAATAATAAATTGTAGTGAAATACTCATTATTGAATGCATATGCATGCGTTTATTGATTTTACTATATTATGAACATTATAATATATATTCTATTATTTTATTTTCGACTGCTAAGCATATAATTATATATATTATAATCGCTATTATATTATTATTTATGTTATTATTATTATATATATGAAGATTAGAATAAAATTATAAATTATAATATACTTTTTAAAGATTAAATACATATTTTTTTAAGAAATTTATTTCATGTTACATTTTAAGTTGCATTTAATTTGTGATTCGCATTGAAAATAATATATATTTTATTCGATGAATAAAAAATATAAATAGAATAATAATTGTAAATATTGAACAAATTATGATTATTAACAAAAAATAAATATTAATAAACTTAAGTTATTTAATGTTACATTATAAGATACATTTAATTTCCAATTACGATTGGAAATAAAATATATTTTATTCAATGATTAGAAAATAAAGATAGAATATTAATAAAAAAGATTAAATAAATGATGAGTTTTAAGATTTATTCAATTTTTAATCATCTTTAAAAATTAAATATTGTTAAGCCAATATTTATTCCTAACCATACAATATTTTGGTTACAGCGTAAAAAATAAAATATGTTATCAATAATTAACTAACTTTTAAAATTAAATATCTTAAATCCAATTCAAATTCAATATTTATACAATTGTTTTGATTGACAAATGCTGTGTGGGTACTTTGCATGCAAAGTGCGTTAGTGTCGTGAGTGGTGGCCTTTGGGGAATTACAGACCAGTTATCGGATTGGCGGCCGGTCCTACATGTCGTCACTGCAGGTCGTTCTAACGTACTCGGCGATATGTGGTGATCACAAATTACGTCACAATTGGTATAGAGAAATTTATTATCTGTGATACCCTCCTTCTACAGTATGCATAGGATGAATTCCATTAAGATTTTCACG